GTATTGTAAAGTTGTGTGAATTTTTCAATAAATTCTTTTGTCAAAACCACTTGCAATCTGATTCATAGCTGAGCGCCTTGCCGCCGGTTACATACTGAAAATATCCATACGTCCCCCATGTAAGGGGATTGGAATTTCCAAGGTGTGGGGAGGGTCTGAGGACGCTAATAATTCAAGTAGTTCAAGAAAATTATTCATACCTCCCAATGAAGAGGGATTCAAATTTCCAAGGTGTGGGAAGATTCTGAGAAGTATACCACAAGGCTCATAAGATTACCCAGTCATATTGCACAATGTTTGGTAATGATAACCTTTGTCTATTTGCTTAGTGATGGGTTTTTGGATTTATGGAAGAAGTGGCTAAATTTTAATGTTCTTGACATGACAAACCCATTTGTCCTAAAAGAAGTACCATTATGGCATGGCTCTCTGACTTGTGTAGGATTACAGGTTAGTACAATCCTTCTATGTTTCTATTGTTCAATTCCTCTAAGAATTGTGATATGAGGTGCCTGTGTTTTACCTCATTTAAAATATAACACTATAGGTAGTGCAGCTGAGTAATCAGAGAACACATAGTGAGTACAAGGGAATCAGTTCAACCAGTTCATAGAAACTCCGAGTGCTGAACATTTGTACTTATTTGGATTCTCTGTGTTTTATTTCTTTATGAGTGAAAATACACAGGTGAATATTGAAAATCTCTTGAAAGAATCAAAAAATTATTTGCCTCAGCCTCAGTGAATATCGGAGAATATTTACCTCACCGCCTTTGCCTTGGTGAATAATTGTTAATTAATGAAGCAGCACCATTGTTGCATGTTAGTTTAACAGCCAACCAATCAGAAAATTTCATTTTCCTGAATTATATTCTTTTCTGATCTATCTTCAGAGAAAATCAAGAGTTATTCTGCCTGGTTTTACACTGACATCAGACAGCAACACACAAAGGGAACTGGACGTGATATTTAAAGAGGGGTAAGTTTTTTTAAATGACTGACTTAATACCTAATTTATGATTCGTCAAATAATTACTAGACTACAGACTACATGTTACTAAAAAATAGCCAAAATGACATTTGCTGTCAACACTACAGCTGTATGTAAAACACTTTGACTGCATACTATAGCAGTTGGGGTAAGAAAGTGTGAAGTTGGTTTTAATGTATCCTTTTATTCAACCAGTGTCCCCTATCTGAGTCTGCATGTAATCAATCAACTAGCATATATTTGGTTACAAGCTAGTAACAATAACACAGGAAACCCAACAGAAAGTGAACTGCTATAAGCTAAAAGCATGGTAAAAGATTTGACGCAGTCTATTGAGCAAAATTTTCATAGTCTGTTGTCTGTAGTTCTGGAATCTTAAATTCGGTAAAAAACAAATTTCAAAAGCATGAAGACACTAAAACAACAAAACAAGGTAATAATAAGATGATGAAACCATAATACTGTACCTTGTGAAACAAAAACTTTAAACCAAAATACAATAAAGCTTTCTACACTGACAAAGACCCTTCAAACTTGTGAATGTCATCTACTATAGCTAATACCATTGATGTTCATCTTTTTTTGAATTTTACAGGAACAGTTTTTGTCCACGATCCACATGCAGCACTCAATATTTAAAGCCTGAAATCCAGATCCTGAGATACATCCCTTGGATAAGTGTGCCTTTATACCTCCTCCTGCCAATCAAACTAAAACTGTATCCTTCCATGGATAACACTTTTCATGACAAGGTGTCATTTTCTAGAGTATCATTTCTTTCTTTAACAGTTGTTCATCTTGAATATGAATACAACTCAAACAAAGAATCTTATTTTCAAGAGAATGACACTTGGTCAAAAATGGAAGAACACTGATTCAAAGCTAAATACTGAGATCTATTTGAAACACGATAGCTTTCTTTTAGTATCTGGTCTTTTTGTCTTTTCTTTCCTGATTTGTTTGGTTTGTATTTTGTGTTATTTCATAGTTTTGTATTCAAAAATGTTATGGTGATTTCCATCTCCTTTACTAAATCAATCAGACATTTGGAGTATAAAAATGAAAAGTTGTCTCAAACGTTTCTGCATGATTTACACAGTTCTTGCAGCAAGGTATGTTTTGCCTCTGACCAACTAGAACACCCTAAGACACCTAGAAATGACAACAAGAAGCTCTAATAATATGGACACTCGTTAGACAAGTTTAAGAACATGCGACAGCTGGGACAATTGGGGCAATTGGAATACCCTTGGACAAAAGGACCCCCTGGAACACCCTTCATCAGCTGGGGCAATTGGAACACACTTCGACAACTGGTTCAACCTGAAACAAAAGGGAAAACCTATGATATCCTTTGACAATCAGGGCAATTGGTGCACCCTGGGTCAAAAGAGACACCCTGGGACAACTGGGACACCCTTAAAAAATAGAGCAATTGCAACACCCTGGAACAAAAGAGATACCCCAGAACAACTGGGACACCCTTCAACAACTGGGGCAATTGCAACACCCTGG